TTATTAAAGGGTTAGTGGTTGTCTGCCTTACCTTCAAAAAATTAGAAGAAAAATGATAAAAAATACCCTAATTCATACTTTAAAAATAGGATATTTTAATCCTTTTCAATAGCTGTTTATTAAAATGAAGTGATTTTGAAATAATATTCCTCCTAATCTTTAGGATATAAGGCGGATAAACACTATTCCATTACTGAAATAAATAACATTTTCTATTTCTAAATAATTTAGGTTTTTTAGGTTTTTTATAATTGGTGTTTTTTAGATTTTACAGGGGAGTAACTCATAAGAACGAAACAAGTTTTTAATTTTTTATAAAATTCTCAAATAAATGAGAGATCAAATTTAAATAAAATATTATAAATTATAATATAACTGAATTAAATGATGTTGAGTTTCAGTAAGTAATTTTGTAATTATATTAAATATCAAAGAATGTCCATGAAAGTCATAGTAAAAAAAATTCAAAAATGAGGGTTCCAATTTTATATATAAAATTATTATAAATTTGCTGTCGTTTTCCGTAACTTTTATAAAAATACTTTGAAAAAAAAAATTACCAAACATACACACATATTTAAAAGCATTATACAGTTATAAGAAAAAACTTCCAACTACAATCCCAAACAAATCCTTATATTGTAAAACAAACTAAGTAGGAAAGTTTTTATTAGAAAAGTAATGCTTAGAAAGTTAAAAAACTAATGTGGGACAAGAAGTTTGTAAGTTTTATAATGAATCTTACTATAGTTTTGTCAGTGATGTTAGTTTTCTTGTGTTTGACAAAAAAAATTAATATAAGAAAAATTGTGTAAAAGTAATTAAGTCTCATATTAAAAAAGTAACGAAAAAATCTCTTTACTTTTTGCAAAAACTCATGAACCATGGGCTATTTTTGAATACCTATACACAAACTATAGCTTTAAAGGGTAGTGGTGCTAAAAAAATAATTGTTAAACCTCATATGTGAAGGAAGGTTAGTTGTTGAGTATTTGCACATGGTTAAAGCACTTGTTGATTGCACTCTAATATACAAGTTCACCTTTTGAACAATTTGGGGGGTAGAATATTGTAAATTTAAAGCCTCCATAAAGGCTAGAAACAAACCTTCACTCTTTTTCGAAGACATGCAAGATAACTTACTAACTCATGAAGAGTCCTTGCAATGAGAGGAGCTTCATCTAGAGTCGTTACCTATCATTACTTAGTTTGTGACTGTGAACATGAGATTTGATGTTGGACACACTTAGCATGACAGTAATCCATATAACTTATATGGGCCTCCACTTTCACAATTTTAGCCCAATATTTGGTCTAGTAGCATTACCCATTTAACTCAAGCAATAATACACAGTTAATGGCTCATCGAATTGAGGTGGGAAAGGAGGAAATGGATAAAGAGGTTGATGTAAAAATTTATTTAATAGGTACAATAATCCAAATAATGTTGCTTGTCAATTATGTAACAATTTTGGACACTTTGTTAGAGACAATATCCAAAGCTAAGAAATCATTCATGTGGCTAATTTTGTGCCTACATAAAGTGCTACTAATAATGAATGGTAAATTGATTTTAGGCATTAGATCACACAACCTCAGATCTATCACATCTTACACTTCATTTTGAATACAATGAATTTGATGAGTTGTTAATTAGGGATAGATTAGGTTTGATTATCTCACTTGTAAGTTAAACCATACTTCTAACTAAAATAAAATCTTTATCCTTAAATAATATATTGTACGTACTTTTTTATTTAAAAGCTTTTTAAAAATAATAATACCTTGATATAGTTTAATTATGATTATTTTCTTACAAAACATCATAAAATAGTGACAAAGCTTCTTTGGGAGCATAATCAACATGGTATATACTGAGTGCTTGCTATAGGTCCACTGGAATTAGGCTAGTAGCACTAATTTGGGAAAAGAGAATCTGTGATGGCTGGCACGCAAAATTGGGTCATCCTTCTAAAACTTAACATAAAATATTTTACAGCGTCAAGTTACCTATTTTGAATAAATCAAGGTTTCTTCATATGAGTCTTGTTCGTGTGCAAAAAATAATAAATTATTGTTTGAGGAGTCTATATCTCTAATAACTCTGTCTCTAGTAACAAACTTATAGACATGACATATTTTGATGTTCAAGCTTCAATCTAATTTCTTCTACTGATGATTTCCTTTATTATGTTATTTCTATTGATCTTTATAGTTGATATATATAGATTTTCTTAATTTAAAGGAATTAGAAGTTGACTTAATTTTCAAACATTCCATGTTCTTATTAAAAATTAAATCATATTAGCACACAGATTAAAACTTTTTATTTTGACGTAGGAGGTGAATATGCTGCTATATGTGTATACTTTCAAAATAAGGGATTCTTACTTCACTCTACCTCCTTATACATTGAAATTAAATGGAATTAGTAAATATTTGAATTGATTAGTTTAGCTCATTTACAAGCTTCTTCACTTCCTATGAAATTTTGAAGACATTCTTTTACTAATGTTATTTATCAAATTATTCAACTTCTAGGATCAACTGCCCCTATTTTTCCATTTGAAAATTTGTTTCATGTAAAGCCTAATTACATTAAACTGCATGTTTGTGGTTGCTCTTGCTACCCATGACTACGTACGACCATAAAACACAAAGTTACAACATTAGTGCATATAGCATGGTCCTAAGAGTTTACCTCTATACCAACTTAGTGCATTGAATAAAATTAAATTTTATTACATGCTTGCCTTCATTTTCACCTAATGATTAACGCCCGTTCTATTCAACTCCAGCCTCTCTTTTATAGTCTAACTAATTATTTCATTCTTATTACTTTGGGAAAAAGGAATCTAAACAAGGGTGTAGTTTTATTTTTGCTTAACTACATCATTTTATATATTTAGATTTTTTTTTTCAGTTCATCTTACACTTAAAAATATTAGTGTAAAATGAATAATGACAATATTGTTATCACTAAATTCGCATGCAGTTCTTATACGTCTTTTTAATATATACTTTTAAGGGTGCATTAATTGTACTTTTTTTTCTTTATAAATTATTATGAAAAAATAAAATTTGACTTTAATTTTATCAATTGCCTAATTAAAATCATGCACATGTTATTGGTGTTGAAAGCCAAATAGATTTTGTATTTTTATATATACATTAATTGAGAAAATGTGTAATAAATACATTCTTAACTTGTGCTTTAAGACAAGGTTAGGCTCTTTCTTATATATTAACCTTTTTTTTTTTTGGCAACCTTTGAGTAATATTTTTAAATACATAACGGATTATAGAAAACATTTCTAGTAATATTTTTCATTCAATTGGTTTAGGAGTTAGTTAAATTAATATCATAATAAATTAATATAAGTGTCAAAGAAGATTACAATATTGATATTTTACCACCCTTGTAAATACTTTTCAACAATACATAAGTAAAATTGCTCCCCTGTAAAATCTAAGTAGGAGTCATCTAATAATAACTCTGTCTAGTAGCTTTATTTAGCACTCTACTCTACTCATAGGACATGCATTCTCTTGATTCTTCTCCATTTTATTTTCATCTCTCATGGAACAGTATATCCTGCAAGAAATATGTAAAAAAAATACACATTTTTAAAATTTGTAGTTAGGGCTAACAAGTAAAGAGAATATATAGAAAAACTAAGTATTAATCCTGATTTTTAATTTCTTCAGAGTTTCGAATCACCTGATACTCTCTTAACAATTCAACTCAAAATAGCAAGTTTTATGATATTTCAATGACAAGAGTGTTTAAGAAATTAATGAAGCACTACATCTGTACATTTTTAGTCATCACACTTTTACGTGACACTAAAAAAAAAGTTCATAAAAAAATAAAAGAAAACAATTATTAACTAAGTCAATCAATTTGATTTTTACCCTTCTTTTTGTCAAAAAAAAAAAAAAAAGTTGTTAAAGCATTTAATTTGGTTAAAATAGGTAATGAGGTTTAAATTGAAACAAACGATTTAATGCATTTGCAAATTTAGAAGATTAGACAACTAAGTAAAACCCTTTTATAATAAATGTGACAGCTAAAAGTAAACAAAAGTAATATTATTTAATAGTTACAATTTCTTAAATTGAGAGATAATTAAGGGATACTTATTGGTAGGAGTGTGTGGAATAGAGTTTTCTTTTTTTTCTTTTTTTTATAAATGAGAAATATATATTCTTTTATCATATCTTAATTGGTAAGAATTATAATGCGATTAAGGAGTACATGATTCTGAGGTTTAATGTTAAATTAAATCTTTAAACTTTTAAGAAATAAGCAGCGTTTTCAAACTGGCTTGGCCAAGTCAATTGAATTGGTTAGCCCGTACCCAGTAATGATTTTAATTTGGATACTAGTACAAACCCGTTTAGTAATGATTTTAATTTGGATACTATTACAAACCCGTTTAAGCAATTGACCCAAATTAAACCAGTGAAACTCGTTAAAATCCAGAAACCTACTTAGCTCCTATTTGATGTAGTTAAAGTTTTTAATAAAAGTTTTATTAACAAAAATTATTGTAGAAGTATTATTTTTGTAAATAAAAAAATAAAAATAAAATAAAAATAATATATTAATTTCATTAAAACTTAAATCAGAAACTCATACGAAAACATCAATTTAATACTTTTAAAATTTGTAATGAAATAAATAAAAAATAACTTATAAAAAATTATAATAACTTTTACAAATTATAATATTTAGTGACATCTCAAGTTTTTAAAATCCAAAAGAGATTTTGGACAAGCAAACATGCACTTGGTTAACCGATCGGTTCACACTTGTTGAAGAAAAGAAATGAAACGTAAATAGGTAGGAATCGAACACAAAACCTTAAAGTCTAATTTCAAGTGATTTGCCACTTAGACCATAAGGTTATTCATAGCATATATTCCATATAAAGATATAAAATGATACTATAAAGATTCGAACTTCGAACCTTTTAAACTAATTCCCACGTCAAGTGATTTGCCATCTAAACCACAAGGTCGATGCCTTTATCGAACCAACGAAGAGATATAAAATAACATGATAAAGATTTAAACTTCAAATCTATAAAACAAGTACGCGGGCTATTACCACCTGACTAGAAATGGTTGATCGGATTTCGATGCATAAAAAATCATTTATTATACATAATTCATAGAAATTTATACATAACTTCATCTAGTTAAACTAGTGATCTAAATGGTTAAATAGATCTAATTGAAACCAGAAGTTTAAACGGGTTGACAATTTGAATCGAGTTTAAAAACATTGAAAATAAGTAAAGAACATCTAAAATATTTATTTATGTCAAATAATACCTCGAAACATATAAAAAGTGAGTATTTAAGGTCCTTTTATTAATTAGCATTAATACCGTTAATTTTTAAGTTAAGTAAATTTTGTTAAGTAGCAAACATATGTAAATAAATTATCTTATATAATTTTAACAACAAATAAATCTCCCTTGTTAAATTGTAATAGCAAATTCACCTCTAATTTTAACGAAAAGGAAAGGATTTTAAACGCTCACTATTTTAAATATCTAAGATATTAGTTGATAAAAATAAAAATTTTAGATGTTCTTTATTTATCTTTTAAAAATTGAAGGATTTTATTTAACATTAAACCTATTCCTAATTTCTCAAAAGAAAATTATAATTTTACTTTATTTTCATAGGTTTACCTAAAAATATCTAGGATTAGAAATTAAAAAAAAAAAAAAAAACTTTTTCAACATATAAATAAGCAAATAAATATATATATGCAATTTGTATAGTTGATATATACTTACGTCCACATTTTTTACCAACTGGTCTGTTCTTGATATTGCACCGTTTCGGAATGGTAATAGCAATCCCAGGGTTGATTCCAGCTTGCTTTGCCAACGGTGATAACAGAACAGCACAGAGGCATTTGGGAGCAGCCTTAATCAAGGAGCCAACTTTGGAGCAACAAGTAGACGGGACAGCTGCTTTGGTATTCTTTGCAGCGCTTAGGCAGGGGCTTAAACTAGCAGCAGCGGAGCTGATCGGAGTTTTTCCACATTCGCCAGCGGCACTAACTTCCTTGATAAAAGCCCTAGCAACTATCAAAACCGTGAACAAGATAACAAGGCAAGTTTTCATGGTAGAACTCATATTGACAATTATATTTTATGGTATATTAGCTACTCTGAATTTTAATGAGCAAAATCAACAAATTTATATATGGTGCAGCGGTGAATAAAAAAAGGAGCTTAAGGCTAGTGGAGTGGTTGTGGAAAGGCAGAAGAACTATATGGTTTTGTTCTTTTATTTTTTTTCAACATGTAATCATTAGGATCATTTAATTTAGTACATAATGGATATTGGAGTAGATTTTTATTCATTGCTATGTAACTATATATAGTCTAGTAGTGATACAAATATCTTACAAATAATTTGATTTAATATTAATTCAACTCCATCAAGTTGGTTTCTTAAGTTTAATAATTTTATATGAACTTGTTGGTACTCAATTTTATATTTGCAAATAACTTATTAGTATAAAAACAAATACATAAAACTTGTAAGTTCTACTTAAAAATTAATTAATAATTTGAGTTTGAACTTGATTACCCTAATACTCAACTTAATTTGAATTTACTCATTTACAACCTCATGTGTATAGAGGGATTTCCTCGTCTTTTAGTTGAATCTAATATATTATCTTGATTCAAAAAGTTCTAGGAAACACAATTTATTGGGTAGGTGGGTTGAAAAGTAAGTGTGAACATTTTAAAGTTGGGTTCAGATATTGGGTTAGCTTTTGGCATGCTTAGTGACAATGAATGATTTCATCCACTAAGTACAAAGACAAGTGCAGATGGCATCATGTTATAAATTGGGCAAATGCTCTTTTTTATGCACCAACTTTTGAAAATACTGCACATAAACCACCTAATTGAGGCATTTTTCCCTTTGCAAATGGGTCAAATATCACTTTGTTTGGTTTTCAAAATAACTTAGGGTGTGCTATGTTGTGTTACTCAAAAATTATGTTTATTTTTTATAATTATTTTGAAATAGAGTTCTACATTTGTATAATTATTAAAATATATAAAAAAATATTTAAAATTAATTAATTTATAAAAAATTTATAATTTTAATAGTAAAAACCTTGTAGAAAAATGCTATGAAAATAATTTTTTTTTATACTAACCTCTCAATATCTGATAATCATATTGAATTCTAATTAATTCGGAATCAATCCATGTCGAACTCTATTAAAGGGAAGCTCTCTAAGCGTCTGTTTCTCTATTTGCAAAACTCAAACTCGATATTAATTTTATTTAAAAGAAACCAAATTCTTTCTATTCGGATCAACAGATCGTTGGTTACACACTATTAAATCAAAATTTTCAATGGAGTTGATTTGCACAACAATATAGAAGCTGAATGTTGGGCACTTGCATATGTGACATCAAAGTTGTTTAATTTACGTTGTCTTTCCATGGATGTGAGTGCTCCACAGCCATCGGTTATCAATCTTTAATATGATAATTAAAGTACTATCAAAATCACAAACAATGATATCTTCCATTTGAATGCACTAATTAAATATATCAATGTTAGCTGCCACATTATTTGCCATCATATTGCACAAGAAACTGTTCATCCAATTTTTATTTGTTGAATTGATTAGCCGGTGGATCCATTTCATTCACCAAGTCTCATTTGGCTTGACGTTTCTGCACTCTCGTGTCCTCACAACCACCATCACTTTGTAGGAATGTTGAAATATAAACACATTTATTGTAAATAGTATTTATTGATTAATTTATATTGAAAATATTTTTTAGATTTTTTTTTTGAACAAATTCGCAAGGGGTTAGATTCGAATCGTTGTCCTGAGATGAAAAAATACACTTATACGTGACTTGACGCCATTAAGCCCGAAGACCCAAGTGCCTAGATTATCTTGCACACTATAAAAGCTTTATGTACATAATATTCTTTCTTTATACACACCATAAAAGTTTTTATGTACATAATCTTATTTAAGAAAGAAGAGACACTTTCATCATAGATTTAGCCTTTCCCTTTTCATTTGTTAATGTGGTGCTGTGTTAGGCTGTGATATAGCCATAAGTTTTTTGTTTTTTTATTATTTAAAATATATAAAATATTAATTAAAATTTATTTTTTGAATAAAGTGTTGTGTCAAAATATCTGTACAAATTATAATTAAATGAAGTCTTAGTGCGTTATGATGTGCTTTTCAAAGATTATGTTAATTTTAAAAAAGTAACAGGTTTATATCGTTGGAGCTAGAGTGCAAGGCACTATTTCCGTTGTTGGGTTGACCAACTAAGTTGATAGTAACACCCAAATAATGGTCTAATATATAAAAATATTATTATAAATTTAAAAAATTAATGAATTACATTTATGTGTCTTTATATATATAAACTACTTAATTTTTATTATTCACGTTTGATGTATAATTCTTTCTACTCACATGTAAATACTTAACATATATAAATATTGAAGCAAAATAACAATTAAAAATTATTTTATTTCTAACAAATTCATAATTTTATTAATAAAAACCATGTAAAAAATCACAATCAAATCAATCCAAGCACGCATTTGGGCCTTCAGACTTAGTAATGTCAGGTAACGTATAAGTGCATTTTTTCATCTCAGGGTAACGATTCGAATCCAACCCTTTACAAATTTATTAAAAAAAAAAAAAATCAATCCAAGCACCCTTAATAAAAATTCTCAACCGACTACGGACTGATCTGAACAGACTGAACAGTGAACAATAGATCTGGGCATATAGGCCACTGCCCATTAAATTTGTCAAAAACAAAAGTTAGAATGTTTACAAGTGAAGGCCCATTAATAGATAGGCCGCTCCGACGGAAGAGAATTGTGCACTCACTCTTAGTAGGCTGAGGGAAAGCATTCCCAATAATTTTTTTTGAAGCTGGTTTTGTGATCTAGATTTGAATGCTTCTTACAAGGTGCCGAGTTTCAATTATAAAAATGTACTCTTAATTTTGTGTAA